TAGAACTTGAATGAGGAAGGGGATTATATCAGTGTCTCTGGGGCCAGGGGAAGAATGGAGTGTTGGGAGAACACTGGCCCTAGAGGACAAGCGGGGGACTTGGAAGTAGCTAACGAGTCTCAGTGAAGAGAGAGAAGAATGAAGAAGAAACTGGAATTCACAAACTTTCTTCCTTAGTGGTCCTCCTCCACTTGCTGCTCACTCATCCTCCTTCTTTATTCTCTTCAGTCTTCCTCTGTGTAAGGAGGAAGATGGGAGATAAGAGGGGAGAATGAATGTTTAGGGGGAGGGCATGAATAAAGGGTATGTGCATTTGGGTCGGGTAAGATAAAGCAAGTGGCAAAAAGAGATAAACAATGGTGTCAGAAATGAGGTAAAGTCTCTGGTCTGCTTCTGATACTCACTAGGATTGTAATCATGGGAAATCATTTTACCTCTTTGGACCACCTATAAAGTTGGGCTGGGGGTCCCTGGAGACTGTGATTGGAGAGCCTGCCTAGATTCTGTAGTGGTTCTGCTGAACTTTATAAATGCTTTCCCTTGTGATCAGATTTGATATCTCAGACTTTATCATCACTCACATAAAATTAATTATTTTAGATATTTGAAAATCTGGACAGTTGGATTTCTGCAATGTTTTTCTGAAATACAAAATTTAACATAAAGTAATTGTTCTTTTAGGATGAAATAATTGGGATGGGTGTTAGGCAGTGAAGAGAAGGGTGGGTAGGCATTTTGATTATTTTAAATACCTCCTTGGCTCCTCACATACCAGTGGGATTTACTTTAAAGCACTGTTTGGGAAATGTTAAGCTAGATCCAAGCTTCAACTGGAAGGCAGTCAATGATTCCCATATTTTTCATGTTCATTCACTTGGGTTTCTTTATGTTAAAAGAGAAGTGCTTCCCAGAAATAGCCATTTTTTTTTACTGTTGCTAGGAAATAAATTTAGACCCTATAACATTAATATATACCATGGGATGGAGAAAATAGAAGATCTCCACCCTGATTTCCATTAGAGAGGATACTCTGACCCAAAATAATTTAATTAGGCCTCTCACTTCCCACATTAATAAAGTGTATAGCCATTAAAAGCTAATGTCAACTCCATTTAGGATTCTGGCAGGTCTTGTCAGATGAAGCAAGAAAATGACTTTATTTCACAATGATGGGGCCCCAGTGGCACAGAGAACAGGGTAGCCTCCTGCCTAAGTGAGGCACTTGAGTCTTTTCTTAATATGGGTTCAAACTGTACCGACTCCTTAGTATAGATTGTTCTTCGGGGATGTGCTTGCTATCATGAACCAACTAGAAAGCAAACTAATGGGACTGCAGGTCTTTTCGATGGACATAATGAAAAAGAAAGTGGAATTGACAAAGTTGAGTTCATCTTTGCCTACAGAACTAAAGCCCATACTGGCCTGTCCTCCCTCCACCTTAGCACCTGCTCTGCTAAGAGCAATGAATGTCAGCCATCCAGTGGACTGAAGTCTAAACCTAATCATGACTGTAGGACTCAGACTTGGAACATGTTCCACTAGCCAGAGAAAGAAGCTAAAGGAGGTAATAACTGGAGCTTTGTCAAGGAAGGCTGTGGTGTTTCTGGAAAAATAAAAAAAAAGAATTAGAGCAGAGGGTGATGAATAAGTATAGAGACCCAAATAGGAGTGGAAAGATTCTCACTCCCAAAAAATCATAGTGGTCAGGGGATTGTGATAGGCTAAATAATGGCCCATGAAAGAGACGCTCGTCTTAATTCCTGGAACCTGTGAATTACCTTAAATGCAAAAGGACTTTACAGATGCTTACAGATGTGATTTGTTAAGGTTTTTGAGATGGAGGATTACCCTGGATTACCCGCATAGGCCCTAAATGGGATCACAGGTACCTTTATAAGAGAAAGACAGAGGGAGATTCAACAACAGAAGTGGAGAAGGCAATATGAAGACAGAAGCAGACATTGGGGTTATGACAAGCCAAAGAATGCTGGCAGCCCCTGGAAGCTTTGGAAAAACAAGAAAATGGATTCTCCACTGAAACTTCCAGAAGTACCAGCCCTGTCAACACCTGACTTTAGCCCAGTGAAACTGATTTCATACTTCCAAGACTGTAAGAAAATAAATTTGTGATGTTTTAAGCCATCCAATTTGTGGTAATCTGTTACAGCAGCTATAGAAAACCAATACAGGGACAAATGTGAATTAGAAAGAAAGAAGGAGATATTTCATGAGGTGCTTTGAATGGGAAAATATGGGGAGAAGATGGAA